CTAATGGTTAATAAACATTAACATTGTTCACTGTTTTTCAAAATTAGAGAAATGCAAATTAAGATAATTATTTTCTTTCCCCCATCAGATTGTTAAAAATTATAATCTTGTAATCCCAAGTATTGGAAAGAATGTGGCGCAACAGGAACTCATATAATATACTATTGATGGCTGTATAAACAGTACCACACTTTGGGAAGCAATTTTGAAATATTTAAAAGTGCACATATTTTAAGATCCAGCAATTCCATTTCTATGTCTATAGTGAGGGCTCCAAAGTGGGATCAAACACCAGGCAGTCACAGAAGATGATCCTTTGGAGAGCAGAGAAATAATAGTAGAACCTCTATTTGTTTATGTTAATCTAAAAAGTAAGAAGGGATGGAAAATGTATTAATGTTTAACACATGGAGAGGCACTGAGAGGTGTGTATGTGAGATGGTATGTTATGAAAGTTAAGGTGTTTGGGGGGGGTAGAGACATGAAGAGTTGACCACTGCATACTCCTTTATTCATTTCCTTATAGTGTATTACAATTCCTGCAGTTTACGTGCATCTGGGGAAGTGAATTTATGGGTAATATTATTTTTAACTAAACTAAAAAGTAGACATTTGTCTTAAAAATCATACAAACAGGGCAAACATAACAAGAAAATAACAAAGAGGGTATATCTCTACTTCTTGTTTGAGTACTCCATCTACCATATTTAGAGATAAAGAATAGTGATTTGTAATCATATTCGACTTTCAATCACATTACTATCATTAAAATACACTTATTATTTTTCTTAATCAGAGAGAAAGTTTTATTTAATATTTTATTTCACCTTTACCTCGTTCTTTTAAGTTCTATTTTTCTGTATGTTTAATAATATATAACATTATTATAGAAGAATATATAGAATTTACATATATTTAAATGTATTCTCAATAATATTTTATGAATAAATATGCATGATCAAAAAATTCTATAGACAACTGTCTTAGAAACATTTTTGCAAAAGTGTATAAAAAAGAATTACCATATGACCCAGCAATCCCTCTCCAGGGAATATACCCAAAAAGTTGAAAACATTTATCTGTAAAGATATATGTGCTCCGATGTTCATTGCATTTTTATTTACGGTGACCAAGACATGGAAACAACCAAAGTGTCCTTCGATAGATGATTGGATAAAGAAGATGTGGTACAGATACACAATGGAATACTACTCAGCCATAAGAAAAGATGAAATGGTGCCGTTTGCGACAACATGGATGATCTTGAGATTATTATGCTAAGGGAAATAAGTCAGACAGGAAAAGACAAGAACCATATGATTTCACTGATATGTGGGATATAAAACTGAAAGCAACAAAGGAACAAGACAAACAAATGAAGAAACAAAAACTCATAAACACAGACAATAGTTTAGTGGTTACCAGAGGGTAAGCGGGGAGGAGGGTGGTAGATGAGGGTAAAAGGGATCAAATATATGGTGATGGAAGAAGAACTGACTCTGGGTGGTGAACACACAATGTGATATATAGATGATGTATTACAGAATTGTACACTTGAGACCTATGTAATTTTACAAACCATTGTCACCCCAATAAATAAAAAAAATTAAAAAATAACCCTGTGAAGTTTTCCTTTCAAAATGGAAACTACTGACTTTCTGCTTATAAATTTAATGCCTGCTCATAGTAGGGGGGATGGGAGGGGTGGGTAGAGGGGGCAGGAAACACAAAAAGAATAAACAATTGTTCTTAATCCCTCAAAAAAAAAGTGTAGTAAGAGACATGTGCAAGGGTGTTCACTGCAGTACTGATTTACATTACTGTTTATTAAAAGGAGGAAGAATAATTACGTTGTGTTTTTTTAAACAGTAATGATATACTGTCAGAAGTTAAATTGATATATTAGAGCAGCTAAATGTATCAAAATGAATACATTTCAAAAACATAATGTTGAATTAAAAACTCAGGTTGGATATGTACATTAATTGTCATAAAGTTAAAAATGCAAACCAATAATAAAGATACATATGTAGCTATACATATAGAGCAGACCAATAGAAAATGCATACAAATGATTCATATCAAATTCACAATAGGGGTTCTTCTGGTGAGGGAGTGAAATGGGTTTGGAAAAGGCGCACAGGGAACTTTAATTTATTTATAATTTTATTTCTTTAAAAAACAAAGGCCAAATCAAATGTAGTAAAATATTAAGACCAGATAAGTTAGGCTGATGATTACAAGGATATTAGATATACTATTTTTTAAACTCTCATATGCTTGCAATAAATATTTCATAAAAAATAGTTTAATTTTCTCAGGATTCCTAACTATGGCCTCTGAGACACACAGTATTTAAATATCATACATGCTTTCTAATATAATAGAATGAGGTAATATTGATTGTGGAATTTTATGACTGCAATTTCAAAATGCTTTGTAAGAATGTAGATACTATCAGTTCTCCACTGTTGGCTGTTATGCTTTATCCATCTATTATGACACTTAACATACACTTTATATTGCAGTTATATTTATACAAATCTGTCTCCTGCAGTAGATTAAACTGTGGAAAGTATTCTTTTATTCCTGAAAATAACCAGCATAATACCTTGTACATAATAGGTACAAAAAAATGTTTATTAATGAATATTGAGTGAATCTAAATGGCTTGGACAGTATTATCTGAACTTTTGTATTGTACCTCTCATATAGTACAACTGCAATCCTAGATAATGGTTTACTTTATTAATTCTTCTTTGTAGATTATATAAACTGCTGTGATCTTATCTGTTTCCTGCTATAAAAATAGAGTGGTTTGTTCAAATAAGTAGTATTTAACTAACATTGAGTGCTTGTTTGCTGGAGTGTGGCTATCATATTCACCATTATATTCTTAGTGCCTAATATGGAGCCTGGCAGACAGTAGATCCTCCACAGATATTTGCTGAATGAATCAATAAATACTGTAAAAGGTGCAGGGATGGCAAAGATGAGAGAGTGATGAACACAGACTGGGCGATGTAATGAGGAGATGACCCTTGAGTTGGGTTTTGATGGATGAGAGAAGTTTTCCAGGGCAAGGAAAAAGAGAACAATATGTATAAAGGTGTGAAATAATGTAACATGTATTTTGGGGAACTACAAATAGTTTGGTATTTTTTGAGATTTGTAAACTACAAGACTGTGACCTCTGGGTGATATGACTGGTGATACACAGTTCAAAGAATGCTCTTTGTATTAAGGAGGTTGGACTGTACCCTGTGTGGACAAAGGCACACCACTGGAGGGTTTTAAGAAGGCTTTAGATAATGCTCATACTTGCATTAAAAAAAAAATTCTGGTGTCGGTGTGAAGGATGACTGGAGTGGAATAGAACTAAAAATAGAACAATTAAATCTGGGGATTACCATAGTTAGACAAGAGCTAATAGGCCTTGGAGTGAGGCTGAGTTGCACTGGGATGGGTAGAAAATGGATTTAAAAGAGATTTAGCCATTCTGTGGAATACTACTCAGCAGTGAAAAGGAATAAAATATTAACACATACAACAAAATGAATAGCAAAAACATACCAAGTGAAAGAAGTCAAACACAGAAGACTATGTTTTTATATGATTCTATATACATTAAGTTCTAGAAAAGGTAACACTACAGTGACAAAGCACATCAATGATTGGCTGGGGTTAGAGGTGGGGGAAGAGTCAACTGCAAAGGCATGAAGGTTTTAGGATGAAAGAGCTAGTCAATAATTTGATTGTGGTTAAACAAGTGTATACAATTAACACAACTCATCAAACTCCATAGTTAAAGTGGTGAATATTATTATATGTAAATAATACTTTAATAAGTTGTTTTTTTAATTTTTCAATTACAGTTGACAGTCAATATTATATTAATTTCAGGTGTACAGCATAGTGGTTAGACATTTATATAACTTATGAAGTGACCACCCCTGTAACTCTACCACCCACTTGACATCATACATAGTTATTACAATATTATTGAATATATTCCCTATGCTAGGTATTTTACATCCCTGTGACTATTTTCTAACTGCCAATTTGTACTTCTCAATCCCTTAATGCATTGTTTTTAAAAGTAAAAAACTGAGGCTTAGAACAAAAATGATTTAGGAGGTAGAATTAATAGAACTTGGTGAGTAAAAAGCATGTGTATACTTTGCGTTACATTGTGGCTGTGCTTCTAGACAAGATCTGTAAAAATAAAGTTTAAAATACTCTAAAAGCACTTTTCAATCCTTAGTGATTGCTTTGAAACTATATTCTTATAGAGAATTTTGAACACGTACAAAGGGTGGCAGAACAGTACAATGAACCCCTATATACTCAATATCCAGTTTTAACAATTATCAATTTATGGCCAATTTGTTTCATTTATACCCATCCTTTTCCCCAATTCCTGACCTATTCTGAGGCAAATAGCAGACGTTATGTAATTTCATTCATACACATTTTAGTGTGTATCTCTAATAAGTAATGACTCTTAAAAACATAACTACAATAACCATTATCACACCTAAAATTTAGTATTTCTTAATATCATTTACTATCCAGCCAGAGTTCAAATATCTAATTGTCTCATGAAGTTGTACATTTTCACTTTTATAGTTTGAATCAAAATCCTGATATGGACCACACATTGCAATTGATACACTTTCTAAGTCCATTTTTTGGTAAGTTCTTTCTTTTTTCTCTCCTTGCAACTTATTTATTCACTAACTAACCTGTTTCTTAGTGTAAGAAACCCTTCTGTTATGGAAATAATCACCTCCTACTTTTAATGTTTTCTAAAATTTGGATTGTTTTATAATTATTTTTATAATATTTTAATTGTATTCCAATAATTCTTTTGATAAAGCCATAATATGGTTACATAGGATTATCTCACAGTGTCCATGGTATGTTTTTGCATTTGGCAATTTGTCTCAAGGGCATTAATCCTGTGGTTTAGATTACCAGGACAGGTGTGGATCACTTACAGTTGTTTGGAGAGCATCTGTTTTGTCAGGGAAGATATTAAATCTTTCTTCAGTTTCCAATAATTTATCAATATTTTGTGTCATAAAATTTTTTACATCAGCTACTTGACTCCTCAGTGTGGACATCGAGCTGTTATCTTGATTTTTATTGTATTTCACCTATATGAAGTGAAATATAATATACATTTTATTTCTTATAAATAAAATCTATTATACAAATTAGGATAAAAGAGTCAAAGGCATATCTCACTTGTAGTTCAGCATATGGAATCAACTAAGCCTCAAATTGCCCTAACTTAATCTTGCACAAAAAAAGGGGGTTGGTGGGAGAGGGATATATCAGTGTACTCAATCAGTAGTGGGAATGTCTTTTTTTTAAATTTAAATTGTTTATTTATTTCAACTGTTTTTTAAAGAGCAGTGTTAGGTTCATAGTAAAATTGAGTGGGACGTACAGAGCTCCCACATGGCCCTCATCCCCCTCCCCCACTCACTACAGTGGTACATTTGTCACAATGGGTGACCCTGCATCATCACAGTTTACATTAGGGTTCACTGTTGGTGTTGCACATTCTATGGGTTTGGACATATATGACATGTATCCACCATTACAGTATCGGGCAGAACAGTTTCACTGCCCTTAAAATCCTCTAGGCTCCACCAATTCATGCCTCCCTTCTTCAAAGCCCTGGTCTTTTTACTGTCTCCATAGTTTTGCCTTTTCCAGAATGTCATATAGTTGGAATCAAACAGTATGTAGCCTTTTCAGATTGGTGTCTTCCACTTAGTACTCTGCATTTGAGGTTCCTCCATGTCTTTTCATTGCTTGGTAGCTCATTTCTTTTTAGTGCTGAATAATAGTCCACAGTTTGGATGTACCACAGTTTATTTACCATTCACCTATGGACAAGACATCTTGGCTTGAATAAAGCTGCTACAACATCCGTATGCAGGTTTCTGTATGGACAAGTTTTCAATCCCTTTGGGTAAATACTAAGGAGCATGATTGTTGGATTGTATGGTAAGACTATGTTTAGTTTTGTAAGAAGTTGCCAAACTGTCTTCCAAAGTGGCTGTACCACTTTGCATTCCCACCAGCAGTGAATACGAATTCCTATTGCTCCACATCTTTGTCAGCCTTTGGTGTTGTCAGTATTTTGAATTCTGACCATTCTAATGGGTGTGTAGTGGTATCTCGTTATTGCTTTAATTTGCAATTCCCTAATAACATATTTGGAAATAAGGTCTTTGCAGATGTAATCAAGTTAAGATGAACGGTAATCTTTTGTTCCTTTCTCTTTTTCTCTCCTTTTAAAAATGCTTCCTCTTTTTTAATCTAAGAGAACTGTTTAAGTTTTGTTAAGATAATGTATTCATAGCCCATTCAATGGCATTTGGTATCTATATATTTAAATCTCTCAAAACTACTTTTTTTGTGTGCTGTGTGCATTTTCTTAATTACAGTATAAGAAATTCAACAACTCTTATAACATTTTCTATAGATTTAAATCTTACCAGGTTAGCTTTTTTTTTTTTTTTTAAAGATTTTTATTGGGGAATTGGGGGATGGGAACAGTGCTGGGGAATTGGGGGAAGGGGAACAGACAAGTTGCTGTCCTTTTGTTCTTCAGTCTAGTTGTGGAGGACGTTGCTTCACTGGCCCAAGTTGGCACCATCATTGCGCTCTTCCCGGGCGAGGCAGATCAGTCGCCGGTTTCTGGATGGCTGCTCACTGTGGCTGCTGGCTGCTCTCGCTGGCTGCTGGCTACATACGGTAGCCCATGGCAACCCACTGCCACAGGGGCTGCAGCCTACGCCTTGGCCGGCGACTCACGGCAGTCCAGCTCCAGATTGAGCTGTTGTTCAGCATCTTAGCTGTAGAGGGCAGTGTCACTGGCCCTCATATGTGGGATCCGAACCGGGGCCCTCTGGCGTCCCAAGCCAGCTCTTAACCATCGTACCATTCGGCCGGCCCACCAGGTTAGCTTTTAAATGCTAAACAGAAATTTCTTTGATGTCAGATGTATTAAAATATACATATTTTCACATAGTAACTACCGTATTTCCCCATGTATGACGCATCCTTTTTTGAAAAATTTGGGGTCTAAAAATTGGGTGTGTCTTATACAGTGGTTGTAGATTTTTTACTTGCATTTCCTGCTTTTTCGCGCTTGTTGTCTGCGCTTTGTTTTGCACTTGTTACCGGTGTATTATGGTAGTTTACGTTTTGCCACGTTCTGCCCAGAAATGGCTCAGAAAAGATTTTTGTGATTGAATTCAAGATAAAAGTGATCCAGTTTGCAAAAGTGAATGGAAATCGTGCTGGTGAATGTAAGTTTGGTCCTTCTCCAAAAACAATCCGAGACTGGCTACTCCGCAGTGGTTCTCAACCTGTGGGTCGCGACCCCTTTGGGGGTCAAACGACCCTTTTCACAGGGGTCGCCTAAGACCATCGGAAAACAAAAAGATACTTACATTACGATTCATAACAGTAGCAAAATTACAGTTATAGAGTAGCAACGAAAATAATTTTATGGTTAGGGGTCACCACAACATGAGGAACTGTATTAAGGGGTCGTGGCATTAGGAAGGTTGAGAATCATTGGGCTACGGGAAGAAGAAACCCTACTGAAGACGCCATGGCAGAAGAAGGCCATGAGAGGCAATATATGAAGACAGTGACTCGTCATCAGACACAGATGAGGACAAGCTAATAGTTGGGAGTTTTGACAGTGATGAAGAGTTGTGAATTTTATGATGAATAAAACTTGAGTTCAGTAACTTTATGTAATACATTTTTTTTTAATTTTGGGCCCCAAAACTAAGGTGCGTTTTATACACAGAAGCGTCTTATACATGGGGAAATAACGGTAGTTTGCAGGGAGCTATGTTAATATATTGGGTCATTGGAAAAGTCATGACGTATTTTTGCATAGAAAACAAAAAATGCATGATGACTTTTCCGACAACCCAATATTTTGGTTGTCTTGAATAAGTGTTGAATATGTCTTATAAGAATATGTATGAATTTAATATAAATGCATCTATTTTTAGTTATTTTGTCAGGCATTGTGGTGGACATACTCTATGGGGACACCCAGGGAGTCACATCCTTATAAAATCCCCTCTTCTTAAAGTGTGATTTGCTTCTAACTATAACAGAAGTAAAGGTGATGTAATGCCACTCCCATGATTCTGACACATTATATAATGTTTAGCAGATTACAGTGAGAGAGATTCACTTGTTGGCCTTGAAGAAGCAAGCATCCATGTTAAGGACGCCCATCTTGGGTGGTAAGGAACTGCTATTAGTCTCTAGGACCCAAAAGTGTCCTCCATTTAAAAGCCAGCAAAAAGCTGCATCCCTGATGCAGCTATAAGGAAAAAAAATACATTTTTAATTTTAGGAGTTTCTTTGAGCAAAAATTGATCCTAATCCAGCAGCACCACATTGGAAGTGGTTAGAAGAGCTCCTAGAAAATGAACTCTGCAACAACCTGAATGAGCCCGGAAGCAGATTCTTCCCCAGAGCGTCCACGTGAGAACAGGCCAGGCCGGCACACTGACTGCAGTCTTGAGAGACCCTGAGAAGAGAGCCCAGTTAAGCCATGCCTGAATTCCTAACCCACAGAACGGTGAGATAATAAATGTGTGCTGGTTTGTCGTTTGTCACACATAAATAGAAAACTAATACAGGTATATTTAAAATATTTTATTGTAGAAAAGCTCAAATACATACAAAAGCAGAGTGAATAGTATAATGAACCCCTACGTACCCATCACTGAGTTTCAGAAATTATCAACACGTGGCCAATCTTGTTTCATCTATGCTACTACCAATTACTTCTTTCTCAAATGTATTATTTTAAATCAAATCCAAGATATTCTATTATTTTAGTCTGTGAAGTCTTCAGTTTATATCTCTAAAAGATACATTTTTCTCCAAAACAAAACCATATCCCTATCACATCTAAGAAATTCCTTAATATCATCAAATATCCAGTTTGTGTATAAACTTATCAAAAACAAATCATAGCTCTTTTTTTTACACTTGTTTTGTTGAACCAGGATCCAAAGTCTACATATTATATTTTGTGTCTACATATTGATATGTGTCTGAAATCTCTTTTAATCTATGGGATCGCCTTAACTGTTTCCCCCCCCTTGCAATTTATTTGTTGAAGAAATTGGGTCATTTGTCTTATAGAGTTTCTCATATTCTAGATTTTGCTGATTGCATTGCTGTGGTGTCATTTAACGTGGTTACTGATCTATTGGGCTGTCGGAAAAGTCATGACATATTTTTACAACAAAAAACATAGAAAAAATACATCATGACTTTTCCGACAACCCAATATTTCCTGTACACTGGTAATTACATCTATGAGCTCAGTCCTAATCAGGTTTGATATGTTTGGCGAGCGTACTTCAGGCATGTGCTGCATACTGCTCATTTGGTGACATCAGGAAAACACTGACTGTCTCCTTATTGTGACCTCAGGAATAATCAGTGGGTTTAGGTGTTTTGAGCCTGTTTCATCCATTGCAAAGTCCTGCATCAGCTTTTTGCCTCATTTTTTATCCATCATTGATGATGATTGCATAGACCCATTATTTCATTAAGGATATTTTATCACCTTTTCTTCATTTATTAGCTAGAATACTTCTATAAGGACCAAAAAAAAATCTTTTCCCAAGTCAACTATTTGGTTCCCTTGAGGTACAGTGCATATAGGGAAGTCAGAGTAAATGCTTGACTGTTCTATGTATTGGTTTTCAGAGTGATGAGGTGGAGCCTTAGTATCTTCCAAAGTTGACTGGGGAGGGATTTCACCCCCACCTTTTGCAGTATCTAGGAACTCATAGAATTTAACCTATTTGATGTGTTACAATCCATTGCAGTTGTTATTCTTTTTGATGTTCAAATTATTCCGTCACTGGCCAGTGGCAGCCTTTTCAAGTTGGCTCCTCAAGTCTTTTGACATGAGCACAGTAAACCTGGATAGCTTTCTGGTTCTGGTATGACAAAATGTTTCTGACTTACATGTTTTCTTCCCCGTATTTGGAATGAGTGTAAAAAGGTATTTAGAAACTATAATCTACACACCGAGAGCCATGCTGCTACTGGATTGGCCATTGTTTCTTGGGTTTTTTAGGGGATAGGCTAGGAAATACTTTTTTTTTTAAAGAGAAATATATTGTGATATATTTTCAATTACATATTTTTCAATATTTAATTTTCAATTAAAATTTAAGTTATAAGGTTTTACTTAATTCTTTGACTTTATATTTGTAACTCTTCTTGCTGAAAATCTTGGTTCCTAACAACATTAACTGGATTACTCAAGTCATGTATCTATATATCTCTATATCTATATAAATCAATTTCATAATAGCAACACCAGTGTTATTACTACCAATGTGACACTTGAAAATAAATACTGTATTATTTATTTTTAGTCCTTTTTTCATTAGGGTATAATCTCACTAGGAATATACTATCAAATTATTGTGTCTAAAAGTCATAAATTTTCACTGTCTTTTAAGCCATCGTTAACTCAATACACAGATGGGTTCTTTTTTTTTTTTGCTTTGAGTTTTAGGGACTAATTTTTTATTTTTTTTAAATTTATTTTATTTTTAATTTTTTTTTTTAAGATTTTATTGGGGAGCTAGGGGAGGGGAACAGACAAGTTGCTGTTGTTTTTTTGTTCTTCAGTCTAGTTGTGGAGGATGTGGCTTCACTGGCCCAAGTTGACACCATCATTGCTCTCTTCCTGGGCAAGGCAGATCAGTCGCCGGCCTCTGGACGGCTGCTCACGGCGGCTCTTGGCAGCTCACGCTGGGTACCGGCCACTCGTAGTAGCTTATGGCAGTCCACTGCAGCAGGGGCTGCAGCCTATGCCGTCGCCAGCGACTCACAGCAAACCCAGCTCCAGGTCGAGCTGCTGTTCACCATCTTAGCTGTGGAGGGCAGTGTCACTGGCCCTCATATGTGGGATCCGAACTAGGGCCCTCTGGCATCCCAAGCCAGTTCTTAACCAACGTGTCACTCGGCTGGCCCGGGACTAATTTTTTAAATTAAAAAATTTTATTATGGTAAAATATACATAAAATTTACAATTTTAACAATTTTTAACTGTATACTGCAGCGGTATTAAGTATATTCAAATTATTGTGCAACTATCACTACCATTTATCTCCAGAACTTTTTTCATCTCCCCAAACTGAAACTCTGTACCTATTAAATAACTCCTCTTCTTCCCTTCCTGCCACACTCTGGCAACCACCATTCTACTTTATTCTCTGTGTGTTTGACTATTCTAGGTATCTCATATAAGTGGAACTGCATAATATTTTTTCTTCTGTGACTGTCTTATTTCACTTAGCACTTAGGACTATGTTTTAAATATTTTATATAATAGTATTTTAAAGTTATATAAAACATACACATGATTCCCAAGTCAAATTTCTAAAATAAGTTTCATTCAGAAAGGTCTAGTTTCTATTTCTGTTCCCTCATCCCTACATAGGCAACCACTGGAATGTTTTTGGTTTATCTTTATCTTGTATCCCCCATCTTTTTTTTCTTTCTGTAAGCAAACAAATACATAACTTGTATTTATTCCCTCTTTCTTAAATGATTGCGTATAATAATGGTAAATAAATAATAGTATACCATACATACTTTCTCTAGCTTGCTTTTTATTCACTTATCAAATATATCATAGATATCATTACTTATCATTTATATAGAGATAGAAATTCTCAGTTCTTACTCATCTTTACAGCTCTTAACTCATAATTCCTAACTGATCTGTCAGCTGTAACACTAATAATGTTTAGGAATACAGTTGGAGGTTACATACCATATACTTTCCTAATACTTGTTGAAAATCTGCAGCAACTGCATTTGAAGGAGAAAAATGTTCTTGTGACATCAGAGGATTTCTCAGAAAAGTATCACTAATCTGGGGAAATGAATGGAAATAGATAAGCTATATAGATAATTTCAACTGGAGAATTACAGAGTGCATGTTTATTTGAAGCAGTCTAGCAGAAACCTGAAATAAAAGAAACCAGAACATTTCTAGATTTTTGGCGGCAGGGTGTCCTATTTATTCAAAGATGCAGTATTTATGAAAACTGCTTGCCCAATCTTTTCCACTGCTGTAGTACAGATTACAACCTCATACCATGACATTGCAGGTGCTACCTTCATTCTTTAGTGTATCTGAGGACTTGCAGGGACGGGCAGATGCTTACCTCTGACAGAGAAGGAAAGATGGGAGTCCATGACATTTTCTACATAAGTACTTATTTTCCCCTCGTGTTCCTGTCCTCAAAATCCATTCAACAATAACAAAACAATCCCAACTAAATGTCATGACACTATCTTTCAAACCCTATAGGGTTCTTACAGGACATTTCAAAGTCTCAAGAAGGAATTATGACAACCATTTGTACTTAATGTTGTATTTTCCAGAAGTAGTGGTAAAAATTATGTGGTTAGCAATTTTGTGTCATCTGGTTTTGGAAAGGTGCTAAAATTAAGATGTTTTGTCATAATGGCAGAGAGAAAAACAATTTTAAGTGGCTAACAGTGTTTAGCATCTAGACTCTAGCAATTGTCTAGGCATAACTGTAGAGTGACAATATTACGGTAAGTCTTATCCTTGATTCTATGTATGGTTCCAGTTTTAACTGTGCTAAAAGAAGTTGGTACACTAAACAAATGAAATATATGCATGATTCATGAATGTGACTGGAGGATAACCATTAGTAATTTTAAAGTAGTATAAGAAATTACTTACACTTTTAAGAAATGCAGATGGTGTTATAGTATCCAAGGCATTGTCTGAGGCACATAGGTAAGTGATTCCATCAATAAAGAGACTATGATAGATAAAGCTTTGAAAAGAATACATTCATTTATGTAATAATGTTGAAGAAATTAAGAACCCATGCAGAGAATTTCATTTTCAAGCTCTCGTTAATAGTATAAAAGCTATATAGATAACTTTTTATAATCAGAATAATTAGAATATCTTTCATATATTTGAAAAAAGTGAATTGTGTTAAATGAAAAACTATAAAATTTGAATATGTATTTAAAATAAATTATATAAGTAAAAACAAATTACAATACAAAATTACAATACAGAGAAAAATCTAATATATATATATATATATATATATATATAATGACTTTGATAGAAGTCACTCACATCCCACATTCCATGACTGAATTAAGATTCTGATCAAATAGAAAATGCTATATTCATTGATTTTTTTTTCTATCCTTATATTTTTAGGTAGACATATTCAATTTGGACAGTTCCCGGCTTTCTATCACAATAGGTTAGAATTTAAAAATTGTAAATTGCCAACACCAAATATTCTGGAAAACAGGATGAGTTGGGAAGGAGGAATTAAACTCCCCTATACCATGCTAAAGTGTACCTTATAACCTGATCACTCCAACTTCTAGACCTTTTGTGCCTTCTCAGAGTCACCTATGAGGAGGCTAGAAGAATCTTGGAAAGTGCCTCCATCTTTACTGCCCAACAATCCAGAAAATTTGGGGAAATGCAACAAAAATAGTTGCTTGGTGCCTAGGCTTTAATCTACTCATTTTTAACAGTTTCTATCCAAATGGTTTACAGGCAACTGACCTGGTCAAATGCTAAACGGATAGACACGAGACTGAGGCATCTCAGAAACAGAAATGATAATCCTAGAGGCCGAAAATTTAAAGTATGTGCCCTTTAAATATGAATCCTTCATATCATATCATGAACACAATATGCTATAAATATTTTTAATGATGATATTGATTGATACAAAAAATCCCCACTTGGAAAATATGTTTATTTCTAAGTTGAGAGGAGTCTTTGCTGAAAAAGAGTTGCTAATTCTACCATTTCTCTGAAAGTTATGAATGTGGTTTGAAGTAAATTGATACTGGATGTGAAAGGAGATATTTTAAATTAATGCTTAGTATGTTATTAGTGAGTAACATGCAGAAACCATCTTTAAATGTTAAAGTTGAATACCCTAAAAAACTTGAATAATTTAACAGCATGTCCAGGACATTCTGTTAGCTGACAAAAGCAAGCTGGAGAAAAGTATGTATGATGTACTACCATTTATCTATCATTCTCATATGCTACCATAAGGAGGTACAAATATATATATATATATATATATATATGTGTCTCTTATAGAAAAAAAGAAAAGGGTAATGACAAACTAAAAACTTATTCAAAATGGTTACTTATATAGAGGGAGAGAGTGTGTGGTATGAACAGGAAAGAAATGAAAATTAGACTCCTCGAAAGAAATGTGTTTTACAGATTTGACTTTGGAACCCTATAAATGTTTCACATGATTATAAAATGTCATTAAATCAAATTTTAATAGTATAATCCTTAAAAATAAAAAACAAAATGAAAAAAAATCAACCTAACTTTATATCAGGTAGCTCAAGAGATGATGATGGTGATGCAGGTGGTATTAGTATTGGTGGGAGTGGTCAGAACTCTGGATTTATTTGGAAGGTAACAGACAAATAGGACTTGCTGATGGATTGGACTTGGATGTAAAAGAGACAGAAGTCAAGGATCATAAGGTTTTAGGCCAGAGAAACTGGGAAGTTAATGTGTGGAAGACTGCAGGAGGAGGCTTGGTTTTGGACATAAGTTTGAGATGCCTATCATACATCCAACAGAGATATGGAACGGGCAGCTGGATACACGAATTTAGAGTCAGGGAAGAGGGCCTCAAAAAATTGAAACTAGAATGTACAATACAGGTAAGCATATCATAGATGGGGAAAATGTCTCTTTTTTGAAAACATTCCTACTAATAAGTGAAAACAAAACTAGAATATCACCATTTTGCAACCCCCAAAATATGAATGGCTCTAAGGTGTAGACAATAAATATCAATGGCTGCTAGCATGTCAAAAGTAGGTATAAGCAGACATTAGGGACCACCTGATGCCAAAGGGATCAAGCCTCTTGATCCAGCTATTTGGAATGTTGTGAACTTCATTCCGAGTATGCAATCAGCAAACCCAGACTGTGGGAAACGCTACAGGTTCTTCAACAACAAATTCTAAGGATAAGAAAGGGATGGAGGCGAAATAAATAGGGTAAAGAAATTTAAATAACACCAAATTAAAAAATGGGCAGGACTGGGCTCAAATATCTGAAGTGTGTATTTAGCTGCTAAGGCAATGAAGAAACAGGCTAAGTGACTGCTAAAAGCTGAAATGGTGGGTGATTTAGGGGAGAGGGAGGAAGCTGTGAATGACAGGACACATGGTGGGGTTTTTGGGGTAGCTGGCAGTGTTCTATTTTGTTTGGCTTAGGTGGCAGTTGCAGTTGGTGGGGGGGGTTCCCTTGAAAAACTTCATACAGCTCTACATTTGTTTGATGTGGTTTTTGTATTTTTAAAAAATATTTTGCCCCCTTTCACCCATTTCTCCTCTCCCTTCTGCCACTGGCAACCACTAATCTGGTCTCTAATATCTGTGAACTTGGTTTTTGTTTTTGTTTTATTTTAGATTCCAAATATAAGAGAGATCATACAGTATTTGTCTTTCACTGTCTGACTTATTTTACTTAGCAAAATGCCCTCAAGGTCATCCATGTTGCTACAAATGGCAAGATGTCATTCTTTTTTTTAATAGCTGAATATGTATTTTGTTTTATTTTACAATATAAAGGTTAAGTCAAACCTACTAAAACAAAGAAGAGTCTAAAAATGATGGAAGTGCTCTTATTCCCCACCTGTTCCTTTATTAGCAAAATGTTTTCAAGACTGTTTTAGGCCATACATGCATTGTCCCAAGTAAAGCTTAGAGTGGTCTTATTAAAGATATTTTCAAGTGGAAGTTTTCTTTTTTATTAATGAAATATTTCAGGTATACCAAAAAAGTATGGAGAATAAGATAATAAGAACATTTGTAGATTCACCATTCAGTTAAAATATTACAGATACAGTTAATGTCCCCTGTATAACTTTCCTCAATTTCATTCTTCTCCCTTCCCTTTGTAGAGGTATCAACTATCTTGAATTTGGTGTTTATCATTACCATTCATGATTTTATACTTTTACATACAGAAGTTCTCATTTCTGAGGGTTCAATCAAGAGTATGCACAACTCATATATTTTTTTCCTCATGACATTACCATTGGAATTATTAGCTGATAATTGTTAAAAAGCTGAATTTTATTAGAATATACCTTACCTTCCCATTTGAATTATGGTGTTTCGTTCAGCTCTAAGAAGCACTAGTCTAAGCACTGTTGCTGCTGGTTCCTAAAAATAAATGTCAGCATTTACTTTGTAGAAGATTGTAGTATTGTTCATTATTCCTCTCCTAAATTTACCTATGCTCTGATTAGTTTATTAAGGGACAGCTGTTTACTAGAAGAACTAATGGGTGGTTATTTATAATTTATGGTAAGAGGCAAGTTATCATGAAATATTCATATGAATCTGAAGGAAAATATTAAAATTACATAAATATACATACACTGTGTATATACATATAAGTGTGCAAATATAGGTTGCACCAGATAATCGATTTGATTCTTACAGTCACATCTTATATATGGCTTCAAGACTGGAAAGCACTATCTAATCAAATATTTTTTCAGTGATCTCTAGTCACTGAAACTATAAATAAAGTGTTAATGGATGAAAAGTATTCAGCTCTTATTCTCTGAATACCATGTCTATTTTTAAGATAAAAAATTTTATTTATTATTCCCTGATCTCTTTCTATAAAACAAATAATTGCTAAGATCTGTTATAATAGGGCTCATTATATAATTAGGGCTGTTTATAATAGAGCTCATTCTTTGATTAAAATTTGCAAGGTGTTACAATTATCCAGAATACCTTACATAAATATCATTAAATGTATGGAATCAATCCCATTAATTTACTTTAGAAGTGTGAAAGGAAACTGAAAGTTACCTAACGAGCCTTGAATAGCCACACTCCTAATAAATTTTTCAATTTTAACAAAATGACACGAAATAAAAACTTTTTGGGAGGTAAAGCTCATTATTAATGGTAGAGAGTAAAACTTGACATTCTTGGGCCGGCCGAGTGGCGCGATGGTTAAGAGCTGGCTTGGGACGCCAGAGGGCCCCGGTTCGGATCCCACATATGAGGGCCAGTGACACTGCCCTCCACAGCTAAGATGCTGAACAACAGCTCAACCTGGAGCTGAGCTGCCGTGAGTCACCGGCGACGGCGTGGGCTGCAGCCCCTGCTGCAGTGGGTTGCCATGGGCTACCGTATGTAGCCAGCAGCCAGCGTGAGCGGCCAGCAGCCGCAGTGAGCGGCAGTCCAGAAGCCTGCGACTGATCTGCCTCACCTGGGAAGAGCGCAATGATGGTGCCAACTTGGGCCAGTGAACCAACATCCTCCACAACTAGACTGAAGAACAAAACGACAGCAACTTGTCTGTTCCCCTTCCCCCAATTTGCCAATAAAAATCTTTAAAAAAAAAAACCAAAAAAAAACCAACCAAAAAACGTGACATTCTTGGTGTTGCCTGGATAATCCAGGTGGCGTTCTCTAGGAAAGGATTTCCTAAGACACATGAAAAATTAAGGGAATACATAAACCTTCAGTTACTCTATTATTACCTCTGGAACATATTCCCCTAGCTATCCTCAAGTGTCTCCTTTAGCATGTATAAACAATAAAATCATAGCAAAATTTGAAACAAAGAAAACGGCCACATGAGGCAGTAAAATGAGTGACAAAGTGGGCTCTAGTTCTGTTTTTGGAACTGAAGTGCTGCACAAGTTCAGAAGAAGACTTGTCTGGCTCTGTTTCTTTGTGTGAAGAATGAAGGATTCGGGCAAGATGATCTCTACAATCTTGTCCATCTCTAGGCTCCTAAATAGCAGTTGATTTGATTTCATAATTAAGCTTTGGTAGGTACTAATACTTTTCTAATGAATATAAAATATTTGTGACATTACTATTTAGCATCGAGGAAAGACATAACAGAACTGTCCCTTAAAGCACCTTGTCATCCCTTTTCTTCTCCTTGGTTAGCTAACAGTCATTCTAAACCTTTAATCCTTCCCTCCAATTGCACACTGTTCCACCCGCTTCCACTTTCTTTCCTTCCTGCAGGCTTCATAAGGAGAGGCCACTGGATTTATGAACTCCTTCAACTTTTCCCCTTCTTAATTAATTAAATGTTTATTGAGAACCTACTATGTAAAGACAGAGATGAAGACAGTTCCTCTTCTGAAGGAGTCTGATGACTGAGACACAGAGGTAAAAGAAGATTCTAATTTGACCTGGTAAGTAGTTTGTAAAGGGATGTTTAGGGCACTGAGAAAAGTCTCAAAGCGCAGAAGAGATTATACACAAAGTGGAGACAAGTGGGTTCCAGGGAGAGGGAACAGGAGATGCAAAGGAAGACCTTGGTGAGACAGGAGAACAGCATGAAGTTCAGGATGGCTGGAAGAGATGATGATAATCATGGAAAAGCCCTATTAGTTAGGGCCTTGAATACCAGGCTATGTACTGTGGGCTCTCATTCTGAATTGTAGTGAGGTGCCACCAAATGATTTTAAGCAGGGGAGTGACAGGATCCTATTTGCTTTTAGGAACAATCACTTGAGCAGCAGTATGGAGGCTGGTTTTGAGAGGAACAAGACTGAAGTTAGGAGGCACTTTCAATAATCCTGGTGACAAGTCCTGAGGGCCTCGATGACTACATGGTTCAGAAACAAGTAGATGGATTCAAGACATACTCAGGAGATAGAACTAATAGAACTTGGTGACAAAGAACAAATGTGATGGTGAAGAGGAGGGGAAAACTGAAGGTGATTCCTAGTTTCCAGATTGAATGGCTCAGTAGAGCTACTCAGCGAGACTGGAAATACATGAGGAGGATCAGTTAGGAAAGAATTAATTTAGTTCTGGACATGATATGTTTGAATTTCTAGTACGCAAGCTACCTGTGGAGAGAGATTACTTTAGAAGTGGATTTGACAGTGATGAAAGTAAAGGTGTCCGTGGGTGTGAATGAATGTGTAAAGGTAAAAGAGGACTGAAGTTAGAACCCTGAGAAACACAGCATATAAGAGACTGGCGAAGAGGAGAGAGCCCCAGAAGGATACCAAGTTCTATGTGTCTATATCCACACCCCGAATTTCCGCAAGAGATAAAGGGCATTCCTGAATCCAAGGCTCACATCCCTACTGCCACACTGGATTCCATCCCTTTGTGCTACTACATTTCTTTTTCTTTTTAAGTTTTATTGGGGAACAGCCATAGTCATTGATTACACATAGCTTTTATGCTACAATGGCATAGCTGACTCCTTCAAGGAGGGCGCAGCTCATAGTGGCCCATGTGGGGATCGAACCACCCATAATGATGTTATCAGCACAGTGTTCTAACCAACTGAGCTAACCAGTCACCCCATATGCTACTTCATTTCTTGCTCCACCAACAGACCCCTCCTTTCTGATATCTCCAACCTCTTCTCCCTCCTATTAGCATACATACGTGCAAAAGCTTTCCCTGTATTAAAAAATGAGGCCCTTTCCTGGACCATGCTTCCTCTAGCTTTTACCATAGCTCATTCCCTAAGTTCTTGAAAGAACAGTCTAGTTTCATTCTCCCTACTTCCTCATCTCTCATTCACCTGGCCTAAAGCAACCTGGCTTCAGCCTCTACCACCTATTCCAAACTGCTGAAGGTCACCAGTCATCTGTTAACTGCTGAGTCCAATGAACATCTTTTAGATCTGTTCAACTTCTTTGGGACGTAAAGCATTCTTGTAACTTCCTTCTTTTGGCTTTCAGGACACCACTGCTCTTAGTTGGTGAGCTGCTTCTCTATTCTGTTCTTAAACAGAGTTTTACTTTTGGGTCCTCTTCTCACTCTCTATACTTTTTTGGGGCATTCTTACTCACTTTTACTATCTTCAACTGTTAGCCCTGACCCTCTGAGTGCTACCTATTGGGAATTTTTACCACTTAAAGCTTTTGGAGTGGCTGGCCAAGTGGCGCATTGGTTAAGAGTTGGCTTGGGAGCGCAAGCTCTGAGCAGCAGGGCCCTGGTTCGGATCCCACATGAGGGCCAGTGACGCTGTGCCCTCTACAGCTAATATGGTGAACAACAACTCAACCTGGAGCTGGGCTGCCGTGAGTTACCGGTGACAGCGTAGGTTGCAGTGGGGCTGCAGTGGGCTGCTGTAAGCTACCGTGAGTGGCCGGCAACCGGCATGAGCTGCTGTGAGCGACCATGAGCGGCCGTCCAATGGCCTGCGAGTGACTGCCTCACCCGGGAAGAGCACAATGATAATACCAACATAGGCCAGTGAAGCGACGTCCTCCACAGCTAGACTGAAGAACAAAAGGACAGCAACTTGTCTGTTCCCCTCCCCCAACTCCCCCAATAAAAATCTTAAGAAAAAAAAAAAAGCTTTTGGAACTAGCTAGAGGAATAAATACACAAATGATTGGCCAATTCCAACAGGCAACAAAATTCAACCTGTCTCAAATTATACTCTCCTCTCCTGCATTCCCTCCGACTCCCTCCAAAACAATCCTGCTCTTCCACATAGCTTCTATCTTGTTTAATGCCACCTAATAAAAAAATTGACAAATCACGTTGTACACTTTAAACTTACAAAATGTTATGTCAATTATATCTCAATAACGCTGCGGGAAGAAAAAGAAAAAAATTAAGAGTCATAGTAGGCATGACCCTGTCCCTTATCCCACATATTCAGCAAGTCACTAACTCCTGAGGATTAGTTTTACAAAGTCTCTTTTAGGATCTGCACCCTTTCAATGTGCACTGTCATTACCTTAGCTCAGGTCCTTTGATCTTCTACATAAACTATAACAGTATCATCCTAACGGGTTCTCTCCCCTCCAATCTACCTTCTAGACTGTAACTAGACCAGATTTGCTGAAGATGAATCAGATCATGCTGTTCCTCTATGCATATTTAATTGCTTCAGTGTTTCTCTAGGATAAGAAAACAGGCTGAACACAGGACACTCCACTGTATCCTCTGCCCACTTCTCTGACCTCATCTTTAGCCTCTACATGCTATGACATTGTGACTGAGGGTCTTGAGGGTCCCCAAATACACTGTGCTGTTTCCTCTGCATGGAGTCCCCTATTCCCCTTTCTGCGCCTGGCTAAGACTAACTCTTATAAGGCTTCTAAGCCAAGCACCCTAACATCACCTCCTCTGTGGTCAGCAGGCAGCCACTCATCCTGAATGCCACAGGACCGACCTTCATTAAAATACTTTTTACTGTGTAGGATACTGTCTATAGCCCTTGGACATAAAGGGACAATGAGCTCATCAAGCTATAACTCAAGGTGCCGTTTTCCCGTCATTGCTGCGTCCTCCACACCTTTACCCGGAGATTGTGCAACTAATACATATTCAATAAATGTGCGTCGAACGATCAGTCATTTCTTCGCAGGGGAGAGAAAAATCTTTAAGGAGCCTCAGGAATTGGACATGGCTGCTAACCACCACCAAACGGGGCGCGTGCAGCACCAACCCTAACCCCTAGGTGGCGCACGTGCCCACGCTCCGTTATTCCTTGGAGCTGGAGTGGCTCCGGCCTGGGATTCACCGCCTCACAGGCACCACCGCGCCTGGGGGCGTGCCCTCTGGCGGGGGCGGAGCCTCTGGTTCCCAGTCTGCCTGTTCCCCACTGCCCTGCAGTGCGGTGTCCCGAGGGGCGGGCCGGCAGGCACCCCCTTGAAGAGCAGAACGCGCGAAGGAGAATGTGCCGACTCGGGCGTACCTGATAGGAGCCACCGGTCAAGGCCAGATCCGCTAAGACCTCTCGGCCATTAGCAATGCAGCTGTAGGTGATCGTCATAGTAGGCTGGCCAGTGAAGGAAAGGTTCCCGCCCGACCTAACCGCCTGCAACAGCCTTGGGGCGGGGGGCGGTGACTGGGGCGGGGCTCCAGGAGAGGGCGGTGCCTGCGCAGGCGCGAGGAGCGATTGATTGGCAGGGAGGGAGGCGGGGTCATACCTTGCGTGGGCTGAGCCTGTGGTGAGGCGAGTGGTGAGTTCTCTGTAAAAACTGACTTAGGTGAGTGAAGCCTTTCTTTGTAGTTATCGCTAAAATTATATGAGTCAGTTTACTTCACAGTGCTTATTTATACACAATTCACAATATAACACATGTAAAATATAGACTTTGATTTAAAATAAAACTCATTAATTAACTCAACAAGCATTTGTCGAACTCCCACAATGCGACAGACAGTAAGTGCCTTAGATTAACAGGCATGCAAACTTGTAGGCTCCAGACCCTCACTCTGAGGAGATCATATTTTAGTATGTAGTGATTAAAGAGGCACATGCAGATAAATGCCAAGTGTGTGCTGAGATGGAAAGATGAACTAAGTTGCAGAACCTTAAATGGAAGCAGCTAATCCTTTTGGAGAGGGAGCAAAGCTTTCAAAGTCACTGTCTGACTTAGAAGATGGGCAGGAATTCTCTAAATGGGAAGGAATGATAGGACAGTCTAAACAAAGGGAAGTGCCCTTAAAAGCGTGAAGGAAGGCAGGTGGGTTTAGGGAATGGATGTAAGTGATTGTGGCAGAGGAAAGGTATGTGGTTGAGTGGGCAGGAGATGAGAGTGGTAGGAGTGGCAGAATGGCTTTTGTTATCCTAGACCTTGAGTTCCTTGACAAGAATTTTTAAAAGTATAAGTTTAAGATAAGCTTATGTATTTTCATTAGCAAGGCGTTGTGGAAGAGTGGAAAGAAGTCAGACAAACTATTCAGATGTAGACATTGCTGTTTACTCTGTGCCTTTAATGTAACTTAACCTTTCTGAGACTCAGTTTCTGAATCTATAAAATGGGGATAGTTGTCAAATTTAAATTAAGTAATTGTGCAAAATACTTAGCATACAGTAGATATATAATTGTAATCCTTATTGTGATAAACACATTAATGAAAATTACTGTCTTAATCCCAATGGTATAACTTTAAAGGTAAAACAATCATTGTCTTTCTGGGGTGCCTGGCAGGAGATGAAGACAGGTAGTCAATTGAGTTTATAGTAACCCAGTGTAATCAAATTGGATTTGACAAGCAAGCAGCAAATCTGGTCTGGACTGTAGCTCTTGAGAAAAATGCCTTCTTGAGTCATATATCCTTCTATATAAAGGAAATCTTGAATCAATGTGTCTAATCTGCTTAGAGATAATGCTTTGTGTTACAGGTGGGGTAACTGAATTAAAAGCTCTGGTTACATTACTTATATGTGGGAAAATGAAATATGTCACTTCTGAGGTAATGTGTTGGTGTATTCTTGCTTACAGTAAAAATAAGTTGAGTAAACTTGGCCACATTGCAGTGCCCCTTCTGTTTAGTAAACAGTGGAGGTGAAAGTGACTAGGCAATGATATCATGAGCTGTAGAAATGACAACAAGCATCTGATAGTTGGAGAAGTCTATATGGGACCTCTTTGTCTCAGTTTCACCTTGTCATTAAAACAGTCCTGTGTAGTGGGTTTACTTTGCACAGTCCACAAATTCAGGTCTACAGCAATGTAAAACATAACTTATAACACAACTCTATCTTTCTTTAAGCCCCCTTTTACCTGATATCTGAGGATTAATCTAGTCAGTGTCAGGTTTTCTCAGTTAATTCAGGGACTCTCCTCCCCCCCACCCCTCTTTCTACATGGAGTGGCATCTGTGTGTGGGGGGAACTTGGTGGAGGGGGGATCTTCTGATTAGTGATCTTCATCTCTTTCTAAGGTGGCATCTGCTGTTAGAGTTTGTTTTTCATCTGCCTCTGGTCGTTAGTTCACATACTCTCTACTTGGAACCTCAAGCCTCCTTCAGGCGCTCTGGTTCTCTCTCAGCCACATTTGTGGCCCTCCTGGGGGTGAGGAAAACTTTCTGCTGCTCTTCATGCCATTTTGAGGTGTTGGGAGCCTTGAGATGACATGCTGCCATCCTCCCTGTTCTGCTGTCACTGTGTTGTCACGTAGGGAGCAGCTCTTACCTGGATCCCTAGTTTACGGATAGTCTTCTTGTCACCATAGTCCATCACTCCTCACCTCCCAGCGGGGACTCTGTGACTAATTGGATTGCTTCCTTTGGACTCTCTTCCTTCCTCCAGTTTGTGGAAACTTCAGCAAATCTAGTTGGGAACCTCTTGTCACCCCAGGCATATTTCTCAATTGATGGCATCCATGTTGGTTTCTGCTGTCCCAAATCTTTTCTTTCCATATACTCTCTCTTCAGGGAGTTTCCAAAATCTATTCTGAAACATTAAGAGATGAGAATTTTTTTCCCTTCTTTCCCTGGTCTTCCTGCTCTCTCCCTCCTCTTCATCCTCCATTTTTTTTGTTCTCTATATTTATGCAAAAGGAATAACTGAGAATAAAAACCACATCAAGTAATAGAAAATATCACCGATATTGCCATCTTTCCGTTGATGTTGGATCGTTAGGAAAGTCATGATGCATTTTTGCATTGAGAAACTTAGAAAAATACGTCATGACTTTCCTGACCACCTAATAGTTTGACAAAACCTTGAGGACGGAGCAGAAAGAGTGGTGAAAAGCTAGATCTCTGGGGAGGAGAAATAGGACATTTCATCATTGTACATTTCTTTTAAAATAAGCTTTGTGAGCTCATGACTACTTTTATTGACTAGCAAATCTGTCATTGCTTTTTAGAGATCAGCTTCTCAGAAGGAAAAGTCACTAATTTTTGAATCATCCAATTTCTGAAGTTACTAGAGAGTTTGTAAATATTCCACAAGCTGGAGACTTTCAAGCACTCACTAATTCAAGATGCTTTCTGTTAAGCATTGACATTCTCCTGTAAATAAGTAAAACCTCTCTTGCTTATTGTTGTTCTTCAAAATGGAAACATGTTTAGTTTTTTTCTTGTAGTGTGTAATCTCTATAGAAATTCAAACAATATACCAGTAAAAACCTCTTTATTTTTACCACCCCACAGACGTCACCATGGCAATAATCTAATTTATAGTTGCCTTTTCTTTTTAATGTATTTTTATATTTAACATTCATGAATACATGCCTACACATTTTTCTGAAATTTGTTTTTTAAATTAATAATATGTTTTGTTTGACTAATGATATATCTTTAAATATTTCCTCTGAAGCTTACCATATTCTTTTTCTTTTTGGTGTCTGTCTGTTCTTTTGCAGATGTATTTACTTTATACCTAGCCAAACATGTGAGTATTTTTTATTATGATGTTGGACCTTAGTGTCATGTTAGGTAAGGCTTCCTTTCCTAGCCTCATATAAAAATAGTTCCTTATTTTTCTCCTGTCACTTTTGTTTGTTTAATGTTTAAATCTTTAATCCACCTGGAATTTGTTTTTGTGTCTCTTGTGAGGTAGGAATTTGTGTTTCCCCAAGTGTACAGCCAGCCATTTCATACAATTTATTGACTATCCTTTCCTCACTAATTTGAAATTTCACTTTTACCATAGACTGAAATACCCCCATACATTGTAAATTGAAGTTTAGAGTTGATTTTTATGCCTGTTTCTGTGCTGTATCAGAATGATTCAATAACTGTAGTTCAAATTACTTTAAGAAATGGGAGAGAATTAATATATTTAGGATCTTGAGTCTTTCCATCGAGGGATGTAGGTTGTTTTTCTAGTCATTCTTTATTATGTCTTCCTATAAAAGTTTTGTAAGTTTCTACCTAAAGGCTAGACAAATTTTTAAATGCTTTCTTTTCACCCTGGGGTATTTTGGATGCTCTTGTTAATGGAATTTGTTCTGCATTATGTTTTCAAGCTGGCTGTTTGGGGCATGTAGAAAATCTATTAGCTATATTAATTTATTTCGTATAGAGTCCCTGCTCCATTATACTGTGCACTCCTTCAGGCCAGGAGCTTCATAGTGTACACAGTGCTTTACTCAGTGTGAACATGATGTAGGATACTATTGTTGAATGTCATATGAGACTTTTCCATTATACTCAGCAACCAAGGGGAGGGCAACCTCAGGTAGCCATAATATTTGTGGAAACTGGATAATGTCCGAGGGTGGTGTAGTGGGAAGCCAAGCAGACCTGCACTTGAATGCTGACTTTGCCACTTTCTAGTTGAGTAATCTTGTAATCGCTGAACCTCAGCTTCTTCCTTAGGCTCACTTCTGGACCTGATTTACAAAATGAGCTAACGTACGTAAAGCACATTGTGCCTGGCTCCCCGTAGGTGTTCCGTAATGGATGGCTGTTAAGGTCATTACAAGTGCATAGGGTCATGTAACCAAATCTCTCCAATAAGATGCATGTTTAAAAGCACAGTCTGGCCTATGTGAGGTGCCTCATTATAGATTCAGTGAACATGTTTGAATCATCATTCAAGGCACATGTTACAGTAATTTTCTAAAATCCTTCCTTTTTGAGAAGTACATTATATATTGGTCTCTTCTCTCAAGTTGTAAGATTCCTGAGAACAGAGGCCAAGTATTAATAATATTTTTATCCCCAGCACCTCACACAGTGGTGGACACAATTTAGTTGGCTGCATTTCATAGTATGATGTCCTATGAAGTACAATTTATGTAACCATTCCCTTCCTACCTTCCTTTTATTTTGTTGTTGCTAATTCTCATCTTTGTCAGGAAGTTTACCCAAGTGTAAGAGAGGATATGTAGAGGGCAAACACCACTGCAGGCCACTCAAATGTAACCACTGTACTATAGTTGGTTTTAAAATCTAATTGCTATTTAGGGCCAGCAGAGGGAGCACAGAGCACAGCTTTGAAGGAGAAAGTTGACTGCATCTGTGCTGAAGAATTTAAAAAGGCCACTCAGCTTTTACAGAGGAAGGAAATGAAAGCTAGGAGGAAGGTCATTTCTCATTTTCATTCCCATCTGCCTTTTTCTCTTTTGTAACTCA